CCTTGCGGAATCTCATGATGTAGGCGTTCAAGTGATGCATGGTGAGAGATGAGTTGGGCTTGATTATGCGGACGATATCGTCTTGATTTTCGACGATGTTGCGGAGGCACAATCAACGCTGAATAGCCTGTCCAGAGTGGTACCATTATTCGGTATGTACTTCGCACCATCAAAGTGCAAAGTGTTGCTACAGAACCACCAGCCACTTGATGACCCCTTGACTCTTACTAACCAGGAACTCGAGGTGGTTGATCAATTCACTTATCTTGGCAGCTGCATCAGCAACGATGGACGCATAGAAACTGACGTCAGCACATGCATTGCAAAGGCCAGAGCTGCCTTCTTGAACCTGAGACATCTTTGGCGACAGAAGGGGATTTCCCTCCGTCTGAAAAGCCGTGTATATAAGGCCACAGTGAGGGACGTTCTGCTCTATGGTAATGTGACTTGGCCCCTTCGGTCTGAAGATCTGAGGCGCCTTCAAGTCTTTGATCATCGTTGTCTGCGAAGCATTGCTGGTGTCGGATGGCACCAGCGTGTCCGCAACGATGATGTGAGTAGGCGAGTACTAGGTGGTGATAATCATGCTAGCTCCCTAGAACAATAGATAGCACTGAATAAGTTACGTCGGCTCAGGCACGTGGTACGTATGCTTGGTCACCGCTTACCTAGGAGTGCCTTATTTACTCTGCCAGGTGTAGGGTGGCGCAAGGCTCGAGATGGACAGAAGTTGACTTGGCAGCGGGAAATGAATTCACTGACGACCAAACTGGGTGGCGCTGGTCCGTCTCGCCTTCCGGCCTGGAGTCCACGTGACTTGAATTGTGCTTGGCTCGAGACTTTACAGGACATGGTTCGCAACCGACACCAGTGACGCGTCTGCTGCCATCACCTAATTGGATTGTCTGCTTAAAGTGTGTTAGGTGTTGAGCTGTCTGCGTGGTAATGGCTGATTATGACGCGGGGCAGTGCAAACAGCAAGGAAGCTGTCTGTCCGATGCTGCCTTACATTTGCACGATGGCCTGATGTTTGTGACGGCATGTTGTCTACAAAAAGTGTAGGCGCCTTGATCCTGAATGTTTGCTTAGGGCATTAAGGTTTGCAGGTAAGTCCCCCTTCTCTCCCTCTTCTTATTCTTTATTTCATAGGTTCTCATGGTTGCATGGTAGCGAAGCATCAGTTGATGATGATGATGACCAATTAAATTGCCTTCCAAAGTGCTCAGGCCAACGCTCCAGGCGTTTTGACAAGTTATGGACAAGGTGTCCACTCTCGTCGCGTATAGTTTCACTAACACCAGGTCTCCTACAGCCCGTTTCCGGTATCAGACGGGACAACTTCCGATGGTTACCAAGGGCAGCAGACACTGTCATTTCTGACGCATGATGCGAACAACAGGATTCGCGGTCTCGCTTCAGGTTAGCAAGGAGTTTCGCCCGGAGCTCTTTGCGAGTCTTGTTGTGTTCGCTTCCAGTCGGCGAGCATCGATAAGTTCTAAAGGCTGCGTAGATACCTAATGTCCATGTTGGCGATTAAACTTAACATATATGGATTTGTCTGCTGCTAGCAAGGTCTAGTAAACTTGCGACCAGTGACCTTCAACGGTACTCATTGAGCTCTTACTCAACCCGCAAGTCAGCGTACTTCGATACGCATTCAATGCGTTCACATGGTCGTCGTCACCCGCACATATAAGTGCATGGTCAGTGCCTACACATGTGATTCAAATCGGCGACAGTTGGACGCAGTCCCTCCGGCAGTAATTGATTGAGATGTGAGCGATTTGCATCCAAGGGTGGTCTAAGGCCGGCAAGCACCATGTCGCCTTCCGGCGGATGCTGTGTCGGAAGTTAGTGTTCGCAAGAAGAAAGCGAGCATCTTCGCATAAATGAAGTAGTCGGGGGCCTACACGATGTTGGTCGCTGAGATGCACCTCATCAGTGGAAAATTTGCTAACTTGAGCGTCTAAATCCCCCGCCAGCACTAGTGTGTGTGCTCCTTCTGTGGCGGAGCTCATTCAATTGATGACAGAAGTCGTCTTTTACCGAAGCATCGCTACGGTTTGTGGGAGCGTAGACAACGATGGCAAACAGACACCTATTAGCCACGCGCGACTTCGAAGCCTTGAACGAGCCAGTCAGTCGGACCGCACAAATCCAGCTACTGACTGAGATCCAATCAACCAGAGCAGCTACTGCCCGGGGACTCAGGACAATACCAACACCGCCTTGGTCGGTAATGGAAGATGCATCGTCTCCGGATAGGTGCAATGAGAAAGCATTGCTGGTATCACCTGAAGGGGATCGCAGAGTGAGAACAGATCACGGGTATTGTAGGCGGGTTCCGATAAGTAGCAGATATCGAGCGAGTGGGTCTCTAATGTTCGTGCAAGTGCTGTCTGTTGACCGATCTGTATTACTATGGAAGTGTTGAAACATGCCAACCTAAGGGAGGATGGAGGGCTCCAAATAGAAGCCCATGTACTGCGCTTGACCGCGTGATGGACATGGGCTTATCAAATAGGGCAGGAGTGACGCTCTGCGTTTGTGTGTGAGTTAAAACTAGAAAATGGACACCTATCAAAGCAAGGTGGGGGTGGGCCAAGAATTTGGAGGTTGAAAACAGAGGGATAAAAGTGAAGTTGGAACGGGACGATAAGGGGGAAAAACGTAGGAGGGGGAATAAAAAGACGGCAAAGCTTGAGCAGTAGCATCCAAACCCCTACGCACTCTGCTCAATGCAATAGATAGGACGCCGTTAATTACGCTCTGCGACGGCCAGAGCATCAAGAAATTAAGCAGAAGTTCATATGGTATTGCACGAGCAGGATACTGTCAGGTTGCTCAGGCCTAGACAGGAGAACGAGTAGGGTTCTCAACCAAAGCACTTGCTTCAAGTAACTGACCGCAAGAGAGCGGGTTTGGCAGTGAATTACAAGGAGTCTGTTTTAAAGAATAAGGGATCACTCTCATTCCAACCCCGAATCGGGAGAACCAGGAGGTTAAGCTTGTCTGACCTCTAACCATGGACCAAACTGAAATGAGTGGTTATGAATGTGTAAAATGAACCACCCAGCAGAGCTCAATGGATCACTGTGGCGTGCAAACCACCACACCACGGTAAGGTCCAGCCTCATTGCAATGTCAGCTGTTCTTAACGAAGGAGCCTGATACTATTTGTTCGCTCAATTTGAGATGCTCGGGTAGCTGAAGGATGTATTAGGCCACCAATGTCTTCGTGGGTAACTCATTGTGAGTGGCGAGTCGACCTACTGATGAGTAAAGCACCGAAGGGGCTATATCGATCAGGTCAACACACCCGGTGTGACTTATCAAAGCCTCAAATCATTAATGCAGGCACGCAATATTACCTTATAGATGGCAGAATGTACCAGGTGTCATCATTTGGATCAAAGCAATGACCTATGTACTGATGGTTTTAAAGAAGAAGAGGTCAAGCGATGACTTGGTCAAGAGGAATGAAAATCCTCTCTACGAATTTTGCGTAGGCTATATATATATATATATATATATATATATATTTGCAAAAGTCTGCTAACAGACATAATGCCATCAGAAACCATGGGATTCAAACGAAAGTACAGAAACGGTACAATAAAACACAACACAACAATGTCCATGGTTTCCTCAGAGGGCGAGATACTACCCGGTTGCCCAAGCCGAAGTAGGGTGTTGACTTAGGGGACACCACCCCGAGCCTTTGGCTGAATAGCCTGCCCGCAAGGCAGCGGAGCGAATTCAGGGAATCGCGCCCATTGGGAGCCGGTGACTGATTGCTCAGTTCATACGCCTTTCGTTTGTTCCTTTGTCAAACAGGGGCCCAATGCTCCCCAGAAGTACAGCATAAGGCTGCTGGAATACAATGCTTCGCCAGGTTGAAGCAAGGGGCAGTGACTTTATTTAGTGGCGAGTCACGTCCGCCACGTCACAGTGTAGTTAAACGGACATATGTGGCTTTTTATAGGGAGAACGCTTGCCAGGCGAAAACCCACCACGTCCTGGAACACTGCCGCCGAACCATTTGCTGGCACGGGAAAATCCCGAACCACCCAGCTGGCACCACGAGGAGGTTGTTCGGCAAGCCAGCGTAGGCTGGTGTCTCCCGAGTGCCAGGCTGGGACCGAAGAAAGATGAACACGTCTGGTTAGATACACTAGTTGACATGGCAAAGAGCCAGTCTCAATGGTGTGGGTTGTGAGTTTCTTTGTCCCTCTCCATCCCGCGTGTCTTCCTCATTCAAACACGACCTCGTGCTCGAAGCATATGACACTAAGCACAAAATTAGTTGCCCTTGGTTTCTATTTTGTATACTGTAAAGTTTACCGTCACGCTTTTTTATGTGATCTTTTGATATAGTAGCACAAAGGTAGGGGTATTTCTCACCTTGAATTAACGTGTAATGATAATGTTATAGGCACATATATTAGGATTACATAACAAATAATACTGGAGTCGGTCAATAGGTGTCTGGTAACAATTTCTGTGGCACCGCATCGGCCCAACATACACTGGCCAAGTTAGACTAGGTTCTTCGCGTGCATACCGATGGGTTAAACTTCGGGGTGCATTATATGATAATTCATCGCCTGTTCGGATGGAATCTGTGAGTGACTATGCGGCAGAAAGATCGAAAGGTATGCAAAAAGTAATAGTCGAACAAACACCGTCATCCCCAGCTAGGAGTAAGTGACCAGCCACATAAGTGGTTAGAAGCGCTCTCTGGCGTACGACAGGTAAGAAGCCTAATTTGTAATTCGATCTGCGACTCATAGATGCAACCCATTTAGTGTTACTTTGAAGTTTAAACTGTAAATCTACATCATCTACACCCGCCATCATTACAGCTCCGACGCATGCCATGGTATCGGGGATGCATAATCCCCTGAATCCCGAATCATGGACGACCCAACAAATGCTTTAATGTGAACGATTTCAGAAATGATAAGTTAATGTAAGGAGCGGAGTATCAAACAACGTACTCGGTCACTTGAATCTTGAGGCATCAGCCGATAGATGGGCAAACTGGAGGAGCAAGATCCAGATGAACCAGAGGCAGCAAGAGTCCCTGAGTAGAGCCTCAAAGTTCCATTCATCGTTGGAGGCCCGATAGTTGTACCAAGAGGGAGTGAGGCTGTGGCTGCTTCCTCTCCTTCCAGTCGTTGAACCGTACGCTGAAGCTCTTGTACCTGTGAAAAAAACAGCAGAAGTCAAAATCACTCAGAAGAAAGAAAAAGCCATCTGTGTAAACTAATGCTGAAACCAAGAACTGGAGCTTCGCACACACGGAAACTAGACCGGCCGTTTAGGTTCTAGCAGATCAAGTGATTGAGTAATTGTCTAATAGGACAAGACAAAAGCGCCAGGTGTTCTGAATTTCAAAGCTGGGCTGATTGGTGGAGAGCTAATGTAGAAAAGTAGATCAGTCTGAAAAAGGATCACGATACTGCGTTCGGCAGCTGAATAAACTGGTTCGCCAGCGAAATCATTAGATACGACCGAAAGTGTGCTTCAATAGTGTGGGAATTAGAGGAACTAAAAACACGAGCAACGTGAGATGCTCGAGTCAGCGGCTGAAAACAAATTAGGAAGGAGTGAATCGCATTTAGAGAAATCATCATCAATTGTACGCTGACGAGCAACGTTAAGACAGGAGTAGTGTATGCACAAGGAAAGAGGGTGAGGTATATTCCAAGCGGAAAACAGCCCATAACATGCAGACTCACCCGTGAATCTAAAAGATCGTTCTGGCGTCTAAGAGTTTCCACACAGTGTGTGTGGTCGCGATTTCTTTTGACTAATTCCTCGATGCACTCAACGGCACGCTGCAAGATCACCGCGCGCGAAGCCTTGGAACCACGCAAGCTGGGTATAGCTTCTCTGAGGTCGTTGTAGCTAGTCTTGATGCTTGCACGTCTCTTCCGTTCCAATTGGTTATGGTGATCTCGCCTAGAGCCATCCCGAACGAAGAGAGAAGCAAAATTAGTAATAAATCATTGCGAAGGCTTGAAGTACTTTTTTAAAGAGACCAATTCCTAGAGAAGCAAGCAACGAAAGGCCGAGCAGTCTGGGGTACCCAGGGTGAGATCAAGAGCACAAGAAACTAATTAAATGGAAGTAGTACACGGTTTAACGTGCGAACCGAGACCTAAATTGGTAAACGGTGGCAATTAGAGAGCAATAGATTGCGAAGTTACATAAAATAACGTAGTATGTGCTAATTCGCTTATTGGTCGCTTCGCAGTATTTTTCGATGACCACAGTTTACAGCAGTAACGACTCTCCCTGTAGCCTACATTTTCGAGAATGGTTTTTCAAGTTACAAGAGTGTGCCAACAAGTGGGTACAACAGCCCATGGGACACATCCACTCAAAGCAGACAATGCACATCAAAGAATGTTATCTCTACCATGTGCGAGTCGCATTTTAGAAATATACAACAGCATACGGTACAAGCAAACAAACAGTCGTAAACACAATATGGGGCACTGGGTTCGAATACTGAGATTCCCAGAGTTCAAGACCCAAATAGGGTGCCGCTTCTGGACAACTGAACACGAGTAACTCACTGTCTTTCGCCTAGAACTCAGTTGACGAAGCTAGGCAGCGTGGGGACGACAATAATGGATTATGAGCCGGCTCAGGCAGCGACCAGCAAACAGACGAAGCTCATTTGCGACACGCTTTAGATAACAAAAGACTACGAAATGTGGCGCGAAAACGGTTGATTCCATATAAAATGGGCAAAACAAAATGATTAAACTATCCCGAACCCGGATTACTATTATCTACGCTTAATGTGAGAAAGCAAGACAGAAACGCAAACTGCTTATGAGCATGCAACTATCTGTACAAGTCAGAAGACACAGCCAATTAGACGTGAGCTTCCGAATTCGTCCGCGAGTGTTAGCTGCCACGTAGGAAAAATGGTTGAATTGCCCCAAACGCTTAAAAATATCTTGAGAGAAAAAAGAAGGCATAAGAAGTACTCTGGTATGTTGTACCAACGTTTCACTGCTGCACGACCACCAGTCGAGCACAGGTTAGGGATACGGCACGGTTGCCCGCACCTACGCAGATTCGAACCGGTGATCACTGGATTACAAGACAAAGACATCATTCCTTTGGCTACCAACCGACTATTGTGAAATGGACTCAAGCTGATCCTCACGAGTTCTACGTGCACACTTCTCAGGCTGGAGTTAACCGGGTTTACGCCGAAAGTTGCCAACTAACGCGTAAACATAATGGTAATACGACCTCTTTAAGGGCGAAAACCAGCCAAATTTTGCTAGATTTGACTTTATCACGGATCTGTGAGCGGTTACAGTGCGTTTCAAGTGAGCAATTTCGAGCCATTGGTAACAACCCTTGTTGTCCAGTAGATATTCGAATAGCGATAAATGGCCTTAAGGAACAAGAATGCAAACTGAAATCTGTCAACCTGAAGTCGCCACTTCAGTGCCGCAAGAGTCGAATAAAACGACCAAACCAACAACATAAACCTAGTTGTTAATTGGTGACCGTATGCTGCAGAAAATAGACAGTTCATCTCGCCTTAAAATCAACAAATTGCATCGCGTATTATCGACATTGCGAAAAGTAACGCTGAAGTCGAAGAAGTAATCACGTGATGCTGCAGACAATAGTGATACGGACGGAATGATTCGTTCAAAATACCCAGTAGATTGGCTGCACGGCTTCTTCGATCATGGTTTGATTCACGGATGTTCCTCGTGAACTAATGCTTCATATGAGTTAGGAATATGCTAAGCTTTTCTAGACAGCACAGGAGTTATCTAACTTGTCGATCCGTGCTATTCGCCAACGCTCCCCAGACATCTACAGGCTTATAGTCAGTTGTCGCACGGGATGTCGTCCATCAGCTGAAAAAGTCGAACTTACTTGGGACACTGTCTTTTGCCCGCATTGTTGTCGTCATTGTCAGTAGAATACCGCGTTGGAGCTTAAAAGCATTTTGGCTCATTTTAAAACTTTTCATCGGTTTAGCGAGTTCAGTCAGTACAAACGTGTCACTCTTGGAATACCGGATTAGTGCTCTTGTCGATTGCATAGTTGGATAAGGCTGACCGGTTCACATCTTCCTTGCTTTTCCTCGATAACTTCTAACAACTTGAATTAAGGTATCGACAGTACGCCGGTGTGCAGTACGGACGCTTCGCTGCCGCTCAACCACCGACAGCCGCGCATGAGCTAAGAATAAAGTGGGATCGCCCGGCTTCTTACGCAGGCTCGGACCCGAGACCCTGGATTATAAGGCAGGCTTGTGATCCTTTAGGGCGCTGGTCAAGGTGCCCAAATATGCTTTCCCATGATCCGACGGTTTAATGTTACAAAGCGAGTTGTTTCCATTCAGTTATCGGTTCGTCTGGTGGCATGTAATGCGATGTTTTTAATCAGTGGTATCATAAAGCTTGTACTTACTCGAGTTCGAGGAAGTACACCTTCTGAGGCTGGACCTCACCGTGGTGCGATGGTTTGTGTGCCTCAGTGATCCACTGAGCTATGCTGGGTGGTGCATTTTTGCACCCTCATAAGTACTCATACCAGATTGGTCAATGGTTAGAGGCCAGACAAACTCAACCTTCTGGTTTTCCAGGTTGGGGTTAGAATGAGGGTGGCTCCTTATTCCTTAAAACGGACTACTTGTAGCCCAACGCCAAACCCGTTGCTTGCCTTCAGGTTTCTGAACTAAAGGCTTTGGTTGAGAACCCTAATCCTTCTCCTGTCTAGGCTTGGACAACTTGACAGTATGCTGCCCACGCAATACAATGAATCTTTCTTTAAACAAATTTCTGATGCACTGGCCACCGCAGAGGACAATCAACGGTGTCCTATCTACTGCATCGAGCACGGTGGATAGGGGTTTGGATGCTACTGCTCAAACCTTCCCGTCTTTTATTCCCCCAATTACGCTTTTTCACCCTTATCGTCCCGTACCAGCTTCACTTTTATCCCCCTTGTTTTCAACCCCGCGATTCTTGGCCCTCCCCTGCCTTGCTTCAATAGTCGCTTATCTTTTAGTTTCAACTCACATGTGAACACGGAGCGTCATTCCTGCCTTGTCAACAGGCCCATGTCGAAGCAAGCGGTCAAGTTGAGTTCATCGGTTATCATTTGAAGCCCTCGATCCTCCTTCAGATTCGCATGCATCAATGTACGCACATTACTACAGATCGGTCAACAGACAGCACTTACCCGAACATTAGAGACCCTCTCCATCGATATCTGCTGCTTATCCGAAACCCGCCTGCAAGACTCGAGCATTGTGCTCACTATGCGATCCCCTTCAGGTGACACTAGCAGCACTTTCTCATTGCGCCTATCCGGTGATGATGCAGCTTCGAGCACCGGCCAAGCTGGTGTTGGCATTGCCCTGAGTCACCGGGCTGAAGCTGCTCTGGTTGATTGGATCCCAATCAATAGCCGGTTGTGTACGGTCCGTATGGCTGGCTAGTTCAAAACTTCGAAACCGCACGGGACTAACAGATGTCTATTCGTCATCGCTGCTTATGCACCCACAAACTCTAGCGATGATTCGGTAAAAGATGAATTCTACCGCTAACTGAAAGAGACTTCGTCACAGAAGAAGCTCGGACACTGTAGAGCGGGCTGGGGATCTGAACACTAAAGTTGGAAAATTATCCACTGATGAACTGCATCTGGGCGGCCAACATGATGTAGGCACCCGTTTTGATAACGGTGAGCGGTTACTTCAATTGTGTGAAGATGCCCGCTTATTTCTGGCGAGCACTAACTCTTGACACAGCACTCGCCGGAGGGTGACTTGGCGCCCACCAACGTCGAACCAGCTGTGGGCGCAAATCGATCACGTTGCGATAAGTTACCGCTGGAGAGGCTGCGTCCAAAACTGTCGCTCAATTTGGAGCACATGTGTGGACACCGACCTTGCACTTGTATGTGCTAACATGCGGATGCACTTTGGCGGACGCCCACGACGACGCTGTGAGTGCATTGACACCAGCCAACTGGCGAAGCCTGCTGTTCAGAATGCCTATCAAGCACGTTGACATGGGAGTTAAGTAAGCGCTCACTTGATACAACTGAGGCTCACTGGTGGCAAGTTCACTAGACCTTACTAGCAGCAGGAAAATCCTCATGTGGTAAGTCTAATAGCCAACAGGGACATTGGGTCTCTTCGCGGTCTCTGGAACTTATCGATGCTTGACGGCATATGCCGGTTAGAAGGAACACAACGAGACTCGCAAAGAGCTCCGAGCAAAACTCCGTGCTAGCCTGAAGGGAGACCGCGAATCCTGATTTTCTCATAGTGCGTCAGAAATGGCAGTGTCTGCTGACATTGGTAACTATCGGAAGTTGTGCCGTCTGATACTGGAAACGGGCAGCAGGGGACCTGGTGTTAGTGAAACTATACGCGACGACAGTAGACCCCTTATCCATAACTTGTCAAAATACTTGGAGCGTCGGGCTGAGCACTTTAAAAGGCAATTTCATCGGTCGGAATGGTCAGATTTCTGACCGGCCGGTGATCGCCCTCTGCCTTGGACTGTCCCTTTGGATCCATCCTCTCGCTCAGAAGTCGGATGTGAGATCGGACTGTTGAAGTTAAATAAAGCTGCGGGACCTGATGATCTTCCTCCAGCCCTCTTCAAATTTGGGGGACCTGCTCTTGTGGATGATTTACACGAATGACTAGTGAAACTGTGGCAGAAGGAAACTGTCCCTGCCGACTGGAGCCGCTCCGTCATAGTCCCAATTTTCAAAGGAGGCTCACAATCGGAATGCGGCAACCATAGAGGAATCAGCTTGATCTCCATCGCCTCCAAATTGCTTGCCTCTGTCATCCTTCACAGACTGACTGGCACTCGTGAAAGCCAGATTCGTGAAGAGCAAGCTGGCTTTCGTCGAGATCGTGGCTGCATTGACCACATCTTCACTTGGCGTCA